CTTATATCATTTGTTCGACGGTAAGTGTATAATGTATGTGTTATTACTATTGAAATATTTTGCTAAATCATTATTTGGTTATATTATACAATGTGACACGTGTTTTCTATAATGACAATTATATATTTTTTAATGTATATACAACACATACGTGTCTGCTGTGATATTCGCAATATTACGGTGGTTGAACATATTAAATTTACTGAATACGACGATATTTAATGACAAAATGATCAACTAACCTCAAAAATTTTGCTTTCATTTCCCCGTCATAGCCAGTCATGTTTCGGCGCCATGTTAACACTTTAAACATTCGCGCATGTTAGAAATTTCAGAAAATTCATGCGAATTTCTTCCAGTCGTAAAAATATTGTAGGATGAAATTTACACTGCTTATAGTTGTTGAAATGTTGAAAAATATCCCACTAGGACGACGTTTTCTGTTTCCACTGAATTGAGATACACGAAACAAAGTACAATATTTATAAAAACAGATGAGAATTCTTCACCGGCTTACTATGGGATGATTCCCGATACGACAGCGCCAATGTCGTCAGCTACGAGCAAACGGCGCGGTATTTTACTGATATTTGAACTTGCGGATGACCGCTACATCCTGTATAAGATAATTGTGAACATCTTAGTAGGCATGTTTGTACTTATAATTAGATCTTAAATTTTCTAAATTCATTAAAAAATTTATTACCTAAATGCGATTGACAGTCAAGTATAAATGATTGATTAAAAACGCTATGTATTATATTTTAATCTTTGAATTAACTAAACGAATTTTGAGCTTATAATTCGATCATATGTGTCAATGTTTTTATTTCAAAATTTATGTAATCTTCCATTAACCCATTACTTTTGTAATGCTGCGAACTAAAATTATTTGCTTCTCAGAATTCACTACAAATAAACGTTAGATAAAATAATTGAGTTGCTAGTCAATTAGGTCTACTGCGACCCCTACAGTTTACAGGATAACACCTGTGTTTTTTCTATATCTAGTATTTCATAAAACAATCATCGTCGTAAAGAAAAAGATGTGTAATAAATGAAGAAGAGAATCAACGATTAAACAAAAATTAATTTAGGAATTAATAGCCATTCAAAAAGATAATTACACATAAAAACTAGTAAGTTTTGTTCTACGTTCTCTGCATAAACATATGAAAACATTCTAAATACCAGTGTACATGTTGGAAAAATTTTTCGTTTAAAATCATAAGTGTCGTAGGCATAGGCATTGTTAAATAATGTTTTATAACGATATAAAAATGACAAGATAGTAGTAGTTTCTTATCAGTAATTTTAGACATTGTAATATATGATTAATGTAACCTAGTACAATAATTTAGATTCTGCTTGTTTTTCGAAAAAGGTAGCTGTCCACTTCAGTTGCATGTTATAAATTTGGACTGATACGAGTAGACTGAACACCTATTATGACTTCAGATATCTTCTTTCGAAAAGTAGATTGTAGATACAATGATTATTTTTTATTTCCTAATGTTTGACTGCTTGTTTCATACTTTTGAATTATACTATTGAAAATATTACCAATTTCATCTCACTTATACATTAGTATTTTATACATAATATTTTAATGTGAAAGTCATTCTGAAAATATTATAAATTAATTATAATAATTTAACTTTGTTAAATATTTATTTAGCTGGACATGTATAAGGTATATACTATGATTTGTTTTCCAAAAGAAGATATGTGAAGTCATAATAGCTGTCCACTTCTATTCCTCCATACTTGCAAGAC